AGTGTGTTCTACACGTAATAGCTCATCTCACGTTGTCCACCGGGGAATCTCTCTAGAAGTCACCCTTACATTTACCGCGGTGTTTCAGCTCTATCTCGTTCTGGTGATCTTAATTAGTTTCCGCATCTCTTACCGTTTTCTGAAAAAAAAAACTGCTCTAGAGGCTGTAACGTATTTCTCTCTTCAACCACCCGTCCGTTTCAGACCTTCCACTTCTTGAAGTGCTCCAGCTCAGTAACTGATTTCAAATCTACGAATTAATTTCTGGATCCTGTCAATTGGACAGTTGTGCTTTCATTTCGAAATGCTACCGCCCCATCTAATCATTGTTCTGGATCACTGCTGATACATCTAGTTGCACTGCTCATCACTTTGATGCATCTAGCTGCAATACCCGTTCCTCTCATCCAAACACTGAATGGCTTATCATTAGCTAGAATATGATGCACTACTACTGAAGTATTACCAAGAACACCAAAACTGTCCTGACAGCCAGTTTGAGTACCCCAATTTATCTGTATTGCTGGGATACTTTCCGTGTGCTCTGTGCAGCTATGCCACTAAAATACACCTGTTTTAATTTCCTAGAAATACTAGTATTTCTGGGAAAAAAACCGAATTCTGAAAAAACGCTTAGACCCCGATGGGAAATTTAGCACAAAAATAAATCAAGAACGAAATTAACGGCGGAATGAGTCGCAAAACTGGCCGGTATTGGACTGATAGGCTGATGAATGGATTTGGGAGAGTTAGACGAGTGAATATGTGCGCCAAACAGGATGCTTTTGAAATCACTTATCAATCATTGGGTGAGGTGACTAAACGCAAATGTTCCGACCTTATGCATTCAAATGATTCGACAGGCTCTTATCCGAGAAATAGGCAGGCAGATCTGTAGCTGGTTTCCCCTCGCTCATACTTCCTTCCGGATGAACTTTTCATCGACGAGCATATGGTGTCTGTTTTTGTAAGAACATTAAATAATTAACTGGTCTGGTGACCGCTCTATAACACAGTAATAAAAAATGATTTCCGGAAAAAATGGCAAGCTGGAGCAATAAAGAATGGGCCAAGCCTAAATAAATGCAGATAGAAAGTTTAGGAAAGGTTTTATAAAAAATTTATGAAAATATTATATGACACAACAGAGAAGGAGAAGCTGTAACCTGAAAAGGAACGTTTTGTTCCATTAATGAAACTACTTGTGGTAACAGATTTAAAAAATGTTAAAAAAATAAATGCGACCATACAACAGCACTGCACACTACGTACCAGTACTTTCCAAACTTACGTACTTGCGTATCAATATTTTCCAAGTTCATACACATTCCTATTCAGCTCTGTTTTACTGCAGAACAGGCAATCAGTCAAGCAACTTAGCGTATTCCAGAACAGTCAAGCAATTCCTTTTTTTCAACACAGTGGTACAAATAATTGCTATGATTTTATGTTAGTGAAGTAAAAATGAAATTAAAATCAGAGGCAAAAATCAGAGCCCAAAACCCTCTTCGCATTCGTTCTTTATCGGAAGTACTCAAGGGCAATTCCATTTGCAGCTTTGATCAGTAGTAACCAACAGCTAGTAAAGCCGCTGAGGAAGTTCAAGGGCTGCTTAAAAGCAAGCTGACAGCAGATCTGACCTTCTGCCTTCAAGGTCATTGCCAATGCCGGTGCTCGAAAACGCTATGTGCCATGGCGGGGTCAAGATGATGGAGCAACGCACTGCATATGTTGATGAGAAATTCCTAGTTTAAAAGCGAACGAAGGAGCCAGTATCAATAACATGCCAATGAAAAATATTGCCAGAAAAAAAGAGGAATGCATGTAGTGGACAAAAAAACAATAGTGGACAAAGAGAAACAATGGGCCGATTGTGGACGTGATGGACGAACGATGATGGTGATTGAACGTACGACAACAGCCAGTATTCCACAAAACGATGTCCTTCCTGCTTTGATCGCTGGACGGCACAAACATACACGTACCGACGAGCAGTCACATACATATATATGTAGGCGCCATTAGCACAGAATGGTTGAGTGACCTCCATTCGCTGCGAAAAAAGAGTCTGGAACATGTGCAGGAGGTAGGTAGAAGAACGACCCGGCATCCAGAATCATCAAATATTACTCATCTCCTCTCTGCATGTGGCATTTCAACGAGAGAAATGCAGCAGTAAAACACTTATTTATACATTTCCGCATACCTTTGCCTACAGAGAGGCCCATAACAGCGAATTCATGATGTAGGTACACA